AGGGCTCCACAATTGCACCTGCCGCAGCTCCGACAGGGAGCTCGGGGGGCCGGCCAACTTACCCCACCCCATGATCTCATAGCTGTGTTTGCCAGGCGCTTGCTCGGGGAGCAGGTGCTGACAGCATGGATTGGGCACAGAGCCCAAGGACAAGAAGGCGGGAAGGCTTCGAGGGCCAACAGCAGTGTCGTCCCCACGGGGCTCAGACATGAGGTCCCTCCAGCCTCTGCTTACTGCCTTTGGCTGCTGACACCCCATCTCGGCTCTTCTTTCCAGGTTCCCGCATTGCCCACCTGTCCCCCAGACGACAACGGATTATGGGAGAAGAGACTCCTTCTTCCTCCCTGAGCATCAATCTCTCCATTTGCACCTCTTTTGGCTTCTCTCTGTTCCAAATTTTGAATGGCCCTAAGTGGCATGCTGTTGTTTCCAAGCAGGCAGAATTTGCTGGACGGGAGACAAACGTTCAAATTTTGTCATTCCTGAGGCTACTACAGGCATAAATCTAAATGCCAGTTAAAAGTGACTATGAGTCCCTAAATAGATGCTTCTGTCCTAGTTTGGGGGCATCCCCAGAGGTGTCAACCCCAGACCCAAGGTTCTCCTGTGTCTTAGTTCCCCTCAATCCACCATGAAATCCATCTCTGGAGTCAAGAGACCCCCTCCACCCAGCCCTGGTCCAGTAGGCTGCAGTTCCTGGACTCAGGACGGGGACACCTGGTGGAAACCCCAGGCCTCAGAGTGAAGAGTCACCTGAGTCTTGGGACTGCAGTCAAAGCTCTGCCGGGCCATCAGAGGCTCCCTTCGCCTCTTGATTCAAAGGTGAGGCCCCCAGCTTGGGAGACAGCTGTCCCTCAGGGTGCTTTTTCTTCTCCCCCATTCTGCTCTCACCTCAGCCAGCCTCCCTCTGCACATCTCCCTCTCCCCCCAACCAGGCAACCCTAGCCAGGCCTGCCCCTTCCAGCTGCTCAGTCCTGCTCATGGCCCACCCCTCCCACAGGACATCACCCCAGATCTGCCCCTCTCCTTCTTCAACCACCACCCAGCCCTAGTGCCTGAGGTATGTCTGCTGTTCCCACTGTGGACGGCAGCCTGGGATGTGCCGGTCACCCTCCAGGGAACACCTCAAAAACTATAGCAGCACCTCTTCCTCAAACCCTGGGTCTGTCCCGCGTCCTCCCCCACCTCCACAATCTATCCTGCCCTCCCAGCTTCTAGCCCTCCAGGTCCTTCTCTGTGTGGGAAGCGGGTGGACTAAGGGCCCCTCCCATTCAGCAGCTCTGTGAATCTGAAGTTTCTCTCCAGGGCCTCGAGCCCAGGCCCAAAGCAGTCAAAGATGGAGACAGACTGACCGCAGATCTGCCCTCCTCCATATTGGCACCCTGGTTCCTGAGAAGGAGATAGGAGGCCTTATTAGCATCCTATCTCCACTTCTCAGAACATTTCTCAGCCTCTACAGAGGCTCCACACTCTTCCCTCATCTTTTTCCCCAGACATCCCAAGAGAAGACACCTGGACAGCCCACCAGCCAAGACTCAGCTGGACTTCCTGGAGAGGACGACCTGGCTCAAGGGTAGCAGTTTGCTGAGCCCGAGCTCCAGGGCACAGCTCCTAGGGATTGGCTAGTTCTAGAATAATGATGCCTCTGGGATGCTAGGTGCCCACTGCTCTCCCTACCTGCCCCCACCCCAAAGACAACCTTGCCCCTCCTCAATCGGTCCACACCCCACTTCTCCGGGAAGGCTTCCCTAGACAACCCCACCCAGCTCTTACTGCCACTTATTCCGCCACCCCACGCACTTAGATCCAAAGTTTTCCCTGTATTCAGTTGCCCTTATTCATGTGTTGCTTTGCAAATGTTCTCATAAAGCTATATTTCTTATCGTTGTCACTAGTTGTGAGTTCCCATGCTAATTAAGCCTACTTTGCTAGAGGATTAGTCCCTGACCTTACAGAGGGCCAATAAAGATTCTAAAATCTAATTCATATCTCTTTCCCTGCAATCTTTTCCTCTTGACAATCAAGCAATGTCACAGATGAAACTCCCAACAATGGGCAGCTTCTCCCCATGGCTAAGTTCTTGCCTTGATTGCCAGAGAGGCCCCTTATAATGTTGTTTCCAAGCAGGACTCTCTAGGCAGTATCTGGAAGAGGTCAGCTCCTCCTCAAGGGAATGTTCTCGCTCTGGAGCACTGCAAACCCTTCCGAGATCATTTCCCTTCTCCCTGGCCTCCAGAACCAGGCTGAGAGCTAATGCCGCGTCCACACTGGGGTCCCTCAGACGCTGCAGTAAAATGTGGCAAGAGAGTGACATGGGATTGAATCTACACTGATTGTGTGGACTAACGCCCCTGGACCTTGATTCTTCTGCCTATAAAATGGGCAAAATAGTAAGATGGAGTTGATACACGTAAACCAGGCTGAAGCAGGAGTCCCTCTTTGTGCAAAGGAAGACGTTGCAAGCCACTTCAAGGTCATATAGCTAGTCCTGGGGGTGCATTCATTAAGCCGGAAACCCTTTGGTGAGTCCCTACTGAAACTGCGCAGAGGATTAAGCTTACCTGGTTATCTAGATAAACTTAGGGTAGGAGGAGGCAGACCCGTGAATGGGAAACATCAGTAGGACAGAGCAGGTTCAAAGCTATGAGAGAACATGAGCAAATTTCTGAGAGCTCACAGGAAAAGACCAACAGCCCCTCCTCAGCATCTCCTTCTCAGCCGAGAAAGCTCTTTTTTTTTAAGACTTTTTGTGTGTGTGTGGACCATTTAAGTCTTTATCAGATTTGTTACAATACTGCTTCTGTTTTTACCTTTTGGCTTTTTAGCCACAAGGCATGTGGGATCTTAGCTTCCCAACCAGGGATCAAACTCACACCCCCTGCGCTGGAAGGCGAAGTCTTAACTACTGGATGGCCAGGGAAATCCCCATCTTCTAACTTCATTTCATAAAAGACAGTTTGGTAAAGTCAGTGAATGAGGCTTCACTAGTGGGACTCCAGAGGGTAGGTTGCCCTGGGCTGCCCCAGGCCCCTTCGCTGCTCCCCGCAGGGGCACCCCCCCAGACCAGACACAGACAGGCTTGCTCTGAGAGGCTATCTTCATTTACAGACGTGAGGAAGGACTGGAAGGCTGACTCGGGCCCATGGAAGCTAAAGTAGGTCTGGCTACCAGAGGTCAAGGGCGACTGGTGGGGAGGGGCAGCAGGGAGCAATGCTGGGCCCAGGTTGCAGGTCAAGGGCGACTGGTGGGGAGGGGCAGCAGGGAGCAATGCTGGGCCCAGGTTGCAGCCGCCCACCTTTCCCGCCCAGGAATGCCATCGGCCAGCTGAAATTCCCAGCCCACACCAGGCACCCTTGAGGGCTGCGGGGGAGGGTGGGATTTACACTTCTCCCCACCCCCACTGACACCCCAGCGGGAAATGTGTTGAGTTTGTCAACATCTCTCTGGGCCCCGGGGCCCAGTACTCCCGTGGCTCCTAAATGATGGGGCAGAAGCCAGGTCATTAGGCAAGGGAGACTGTCATTAGTGCAGTGGTGATGCCACCGCCGCAGAGACAATGGCAAACAGTCATTAGTGGCTATGTCACGGGGGTGAGGCAATGCTGGCCAGGCTTGGCAAACCGCCCCTCCCCTTGTCCAGCTCCCACACACTCACCCATACACTCACACCAAGGAGAAAGCAGGCGCCCACTCCCCCAAGCACATGTTCACACAGCAGAATTGTGAGTAGATACTCCCACATACTTACACACTTGCCCACTCACATGTCCACACACACACACAAGGAGCTGGACCCCTGGATCCTTCCACAACCAGGTACCCAGACACATAGGTATCGCCCCTGCTTGAGATGGATACACAGACCTCCAGGGGCCCCAGAGGAAACTTCAGACATCTCTTCCCACCCCACCCACTCTGCTTCAAGGGAGCAGCACCCATGACAAGGCTTGCCTTACTTGCACCCCAAGAAATCGTTTACTGAACCCCCAAGACATGGTCTACCATAGGCATGTTTCTAAGCATTCCTGACCCCCCAGCAGGAGAGAGACAGGAAAGGGAGGTTGGGATCAGTGAAATCTATCCTCCTTCCCAGTTTTGAATCTTTCCTTCCTTCAGCCTCACCAACTGACTTTCATTTGCCAAGCTGTGGGACCCAACTTTCAGTCTGGAAAATGTGGGTGTGGGTGGGGTGGCAGAAAAAGTGGCAGTTACATCAGTCGTGTAAGGTAGAAGGGAGCAGGGGGCCAGCTGAGCCCTGGGTTCAGATCCTAGCTCTGCTACCAGTTGGACATATTCATTTCCTGCTTCTGCTATAACCGTGAACTTAGTGACTTAAAACAACATAATTTTGTTATCTTACAGTTTGGAGATCAGAAGTCCAAAATGTGTTTCAGTGGTCTAAAACCCAGGTGTCAGCAGGGCTGCCTTCCTTCTGAAGGTCCTAGCTGGAAACCACCCACCTTCCTTGGTCCCCTTAGCTCTTCAAAGCACCAGGAGTCTCTCACAGTATCACTCTCAGCACCTTCTTCCTCATTAAAAGGACCCTGGTGATGATCCTGGGCCCACCCTGATCATTCAGGATAATCTATCCATCTCCAGAGCCTTCACTTATTCATGTCAGCAAAGTCTATGACCATGCAAGGTAACATATTCTCGGGCTCTGGGGATCCATTATTCTATCTACCACACCTGGTGACCATGGGCACCTTTAACCTCCCAGAGTCCAGCATCTTCAATCATAATCTAGCAATAACTCCTACCACATGGATGATCCTGGGGACTTAGAAAGTCACATGAACAGGAAGCACGGTGCCTCACATGGTGAGTGGGAGGGTCCTTGGCCAGCAGCACTGTCATCTCCCTTTTTGACTTCCTGAGGATAAAGGAGGACGAGAAACCTGGGTGAGGGACCTCAGAGGCTGGCGAGGGGGCTTTGGAGGCTCTAGCAGGTCGGGAAGGAGGTATGGGTGTCTGTGAGGGTCCCCGGATCCGGGCAGTCACCTGGCGTGGCTGTGGGCACACATACCTGCAGTGACTGGGGACAGGGCAGCAGGGCAGGGCTGGGCTGCCACTCCTGCTTACTCCTGCCTTTCTCTCCTGCATCGGTTGCCATCTGTTTGCAAGGCCCTGGAGCCAGTGAGCACGCAGGAGCCCCAGACCAGGCTGCTATTACCTGCTAAGTGCAGAGTGCAGAATGATGACCCGGGAAGATAAACCCCACATAGAGGAATCGCCTGCTGGAAAACACTCATTAGTCTCCGATCTCACACAGCACTGTTTGTCTACTCAGTAGGCAACACAGCACCTCAGAGGAGCTGAGGTTGTCAGATTCCCACTGGCCAGTCTGGCTCCATCCAGCAGCCCAGGCCCAGGGCAGGGGGGTCCAGCCTTGCACCCTGTTCCTCCGCCCACCTCCCCTTCCCCAACCCTCCCTGGCCCATCCCCACTCCAGCTCCTCCCAGCTTCCCCCAGAACCTCGGAACTTAGAGGAAGCCTGGGCTGGAGGCTGCATTTGGAGGCAGAAGACCAGTTTCAATCCCATACCTCTGCACAACGAGGGCGCAGGGATGCCCAGCTGACAAAAATGTTGGGGACATGAAACGAGTTCGAGTGCTTTTTGTAAGCCTGGGTACTAATTTGAGTTTGGGGACACACGGAAGGACTTCCTCCTCCCTTTCTCCCTGGGATGCAGCGGGCAGGGCTGACCTCGGATCAGCCTTTCATAGACAGCTGCCTTGGAGCCCCCACATCTCACTGCATCCAGAGATCCCCAACTGGTGGGGGGGGAAGAGATGGAAGGATGGGGAGGGAAGGAGGGCTCTTCTAGTTCATAGAGGGGATGCTGCCTGATTCATGAATCACCAATAAAGCCAATTGGATCTTCAATTTAGAGGGGGCATGGGGGGGGGGCTTTCTCTGCAGCCCAGTGGTTAAAATGTTGTGTTTCCACTACAGAGGGCACAGTTTCAATCCCTTGTTGGGGAACTAAGATCCTGCATACTGCACGGCATGGTTAAAAATAAAATAAAGTTTTTTAAACAAAAAAAATGATGGAGAGGGAGGACACAGCTGCCTACACATGATAGGTTCTGATAAATAGGTGCCAAGTGCACACTATTAAACCATTGATCTCCTACTGTATGCCAGGCATTGTGCTTGATGCTATGGATACAAAGATAAATGAACCATAAACCACCATCACTCAAGCATCAGTCCTGAAGATTCATCCTGAGAGTCTCCCTTGTGTCCCATATGGGCTCTGAGGACCGCTGGATGAGTGGGATAGCCCTGCCTTAGGGGCTGGACTGTGGGTTGCTGGCTACCCACCTGGCCACAGCCTCCCAGTGCCAGCCAGCCTGTGTCAGCTGGTACAGTGCCCCAGTACCACCCGGGGCTGCTGCCATTCTGGCAGACTCACAGAGGCCGGGCACTGGTAGCTCCACAGGGAGCAGAATATGGTTTCGGTCTATTACCAGGGCAGATAAAGCAGCCGCTGAAGCTCAGGGCGCAGTTTGAGCTGATAAATGAGCATCTCGAGATGCCCTACCCCTCCCCATCCTGTCTTTGTCAGCCACCCTGGCCTTCCAGTCCCTCTTTGTTCCTCTCTGAAAGCAGCCCCAGGGAGATGGACACCTCCTAAATAGCTGTGTGCAGTGCCAGCGATGGAAGGGTGAGGAGGCTGGAACCAACTTGACAGCTGGCCTGGAGACAGAGGCCAGATGGAAAGAGAGTCCAGAGCTCAGAAAGCCTCACTGATCTTTGGACATATCCCCCTGCTCTGCACCCAGGAGAGATGGAGAAAGCCTTTTCTCAATGAAGGCCCAATTGGCCAGGGTAGGTAAGATTAGACCTTTTCCCCAGTGACCAGGATTCCAGACGCAGGGAGACTCTCTGGAGGGGAAACTGGGGTCCCCAGGTCCTGTCTAATGGGGGAGGGTATTGCAAGAAAGAGACCCTTGCCTAAGAGAGTCATAGAAACAAGTGCTAAATAATAGAGGACACGCCCTGTATTAACTCAACAACTATTTTGTGCGAACCGAGTATGGGCCAGTGGTGATGGGACAGCGGGTAAAACAAAGTCCAGCCACCACAGAGGCTTCCCTTGAGCGCTCTCCCCACCAAGACAAGTGAGCGGGCTATCTGGGAAGACTTCCTGGAGGAAGGGGGCAGGTGGGCTGGCTGAGTGGTCAGCACGAAGGCTCAGAGGCAGCTGGGGGAGGGAGTGGTGTGGGGAAGGGAAGAAGAAAGATGAGCGTCTGAGGCCTGAGAAGTGCGGGCTGTTGGGAGGAACCATCCCTGTGGGGGTGGTGGTTGGAGCCACAATAGGTGGATGGAGAGTGGGCAGCAGGCCCCTGGGAGTTCCCTGTTGCTGAGACCTGGCATTTCCTCCTGGAGGAAGAAGCAGGTGAGAAGGTGCGGTGTTTCCCAGGGAACTGGGCCTGCGCTGCCGCTGCGCCCTCCCTGACAGGCAGTGAGTGGCCACCGGAAGTGGAGACCTCCTGCTAGTTTTCCTTTGTGCCATCCTCCTTCCTGCCCCCTCCGCCCAGAAGCAGGTCTGGCAGCCCTACCGGATGCCATGGGCATGAGCCTAGCACCCACACAGCTGGGCATGGGGTTCCCGGGGAAGTTTAGGGCCCACCCTCCACCTGACCAGGGGTCCTGGCCCCATGTGTTCCATCCTCGGGTCCTACGTGGAAGGAGAGGGGCCTGGGAGGCTTATGTCTTTCTTAGCCCCTGCCCTGCCCGGAATGCATGCCTGACAAGTCTAAGCCTAATGAGGCTTCTACCAGCTTATGGAGACTTCCTCCTGCCTCTTTCTTTCATGAAGAGGACCATCCATCTTCTCTCCCGTCTGAGGCACCTGGCCGTGACAGGAGGGCATCAGAATTCCCACCCTACGCTGAGCAGGAACAAAGGAAAAGGAAGCCAGGCCTCTGGGAGTCCACCTGTGATGGGACCCGTGACACACTCCAAGCGGAGGACCCATCCCAGCTCAGCCTGGAGAGGAGGCAGCCAGGTCCTGTGGGGGCAGAGGCCCCAGAGCCAGCCTCAAGATTATGGGGTGTCTCCCCATCCTCACTTGCTCCATGACCCACCTAGCGTCTGTGGCTCTACACCGTCCGAAGCTTTTGACATTGTATCCTGTGTTGTAACATCGTATAACAAGTGCCCCGTGTGGAAGGGTGGCCTTGCAGTCATTCCAGAAAGAAGTAGTCATCAAGAACCTACTATGTGCCAGGCATTGTGCCAGGCCCTGGGACACCAAGGAATAAAACCATCACATGGTCCCTGGGCTCACTGAGCTTCTCAGGGGAGGCAGGTACAAGTAAACAACCAACAACAAATCATTACAAATTGGGCTAAGTGCTCTGAAGACAAGAAAGTGTAATTAGCCTATGCTTACCTCTCCCTGGCCCCAGAGGCCAGCCCTCATTAGAGAATGCCCACACCTGCCTGACCTCCCCAGCACACTGCTTGGCTAAAGACCTTGGATCATTCTGGAAACCACTGAGTACCTGGCATAACCAGGGGATTGACCACAGAGGAATACTTGTTGAATCAAACCAGAGGGGGAAAAAAGTTTAATTTAAAAAAAATTCACACCATCCAGCACAACCTAATTTTACAAGCGACTGAGGCCCAGAAAGTCTAAGCATTTGGCCCCAAACCACACAGCTAGGGAGAAGCAGAGCCCAGGTCAGAAACCAGCTCTGCCCCCATCCCCTGCTGCCCTCTGATCTATCCTGACCCAGTTCACAGCCACCAGGGCCCGGCAGCCCGCTGGCCCATCTCAAATGCCTTCTATGCGTATCAGCCCTGGTGGATAGAGTTGTCCGCGGTGATGGAGATGTTCCCTATCTGTGAGGCCCAACATGGACATAGGGCATCACTCGGCATGTTCGAGGAAATGGGGCCTATTTGGAGGGGGTGGGAATGGGCAGAGGCTACAGAGGGCAGAAGGATGTGAGGAGATGACATTCAAAGAAGAGGGGAAGCAGGCGCAAAGGGTCTTATTTGACATTCCAAGGAACCTTCTAGATCCTTATCCACAGAGAGCCACTGAAGGGCTTTGTGCCAAGTGATGAGATGCCTGCACTGTGGCCTTCCTGGGAGAACTGCTGCTCCTCTGAGCTCCTAGCGCCTCTGACACCTCGGTCCCACTGGCTCCCGTCATCATCACTGTCCTACACAGACAGTTTGCCTGAAACAACCTTCCTTCCCCTTCCTGGACAAGTCTTCCACTTCCTTCAAGCCTTTGCTCCCTGCACCAAACACCTTCGCCCCGGTTAGTGCTTCTCCCATGTCTCCACAGCCTGCCTGGCACATGGAAGGAGCTTCATAGACACTGTTTTGGGGTGGTTTTGTTTTTTATTTATTTATTTATTTATTTATTTTTGGCTGTGCTGGGAGCATAGAGTCTTAACCACTGGACCACCAGACACCATCTTAATGTCTCCATCCTTGCTGTTAGTCCCTCTTTCTTGGCCTCGGTCCTTCCCAGAATGTTCACAACTCCCTAGTCTCCAGTTCTGGGGCCTTCGGAAATTCTTTTCAGCCAGCATGGGTTGCTCAAACAGAGAAGGCACTGCCCCAGGTGAGGGCATAGGTGTGGGTGTGCATTTTCGAGAAAGGAGGAGGGGTGCAGGAGCCTGTGCAGGTTCCTCTGGGAAGCTTCCTGGAGGACTGTCCCAGCCTTACCGCCATGTGCTGGAGTGAGGCTGAGTCCCTTGCCTGGAGTCACTGTCTGTCTCCCCAGGAACCACATCCTGCTCAATAGCCCCAGCCAGGCTGGGATGTGCTCATTGGAATATTCATCCAGCAACTATGTATTGCTGTCCTGCATTATCCCAGGCGTGCCTGCTCCACAGGCCAGGCCTTGGGCCAAATGGGCAAAGGGCACAGACAAGGCCCTGAAACTATGACATAGTGATGCCATTCCTACAAGACCATCCAGCTGGGTTGTGGGGCCAGGGTGCTTCTCTTCCCCCAGGGCTGAGAGCTGGAGGAGGCTGGGACCAGGACTCTCCCAGAGGACAGGGAGACAGGGAGGCAAGAAAGAAGAGGTGGAAGGAAGCAAGCAGTAGATACATCAGCAGTTGGGAGGCATTGACTTAGAGAGAGAAATAGTAGGCAAGAGGAAGCAGAGAAAATAAGAAAGCTCCCCCTTGATTCTTTGAGGACCAATTTCAGGAGATCAAGCCTCCCCCATTCTTACTTCTGACCAGCTCTTTTCCCTCTTCCTTCTTCTCTCTGCCCCCTGGATGGTCAGAATTGCCTGCTGTTGCCAGTTACAGGGGACCGGAACAAAGGAGGTAGACTTGAGGTGGAAGGTGGAGAATGGAGATTGCTGTACCTGGACCATGTAAAGATCAACCAGGACAGGGCCAGAGAACCCCAAAGGGGCAAAAAGATGCTGTCTTCAGCAGGGTCACCCAAGCTCATACCTCACCAGAAGCCCCAAGCTGGTTTGTCTATGAGTACATCCAGGAATGGTTGGGAGACTGTCCAGGTATCCAGACATCCCCAGAGAGACTAAGTCTCACCCACCCTCCATCTTCCCTCTCCCAACCCCTGCCAGGCCTCCTGCTCCCTGGGGGCCTGAACACCTAGGAAGTTTGTGCTTCATATCAAGGCCAGAAGAGGGTCATGTCAGGTCCTCAGTGAGGGTGGAGAGGCAGAGGCCTGTACAGTGGGCCCCAAGGATGCTAACTCAGGAGTGGAGGGAGGCATGGGTGAAGCTAGGGGAGGCAAGGAGAAGGGGAGGAAATGGGGCTGGGAGCTTCCATGGAGTTACATTTGGGGTGCTTTTTCTGCTCTTCCTGTCCAGCAGCCAGGGCTGTGACAGCCAGACACCTCTGTGACTGCACCTGAGGGAGGCTGCTGGGTCAGAGAGGCCACGGCAGGTGGGACCACAGCCTGTTTCCTACGCATAGCATCCCGGGTGAGTGTGCCTTCCATGGCTCCAAGAAGCCAGGCCACCCACCAGGCAGGTGCCCAGTGTTTGGACCCCAGAGACTGTCCTGCAAGGCCAGCCTTAAAGCCATGGACTAGGCAATTAACCATGACTTGTCAAAACACTTGGAGTAGCAGATTTGAGTTATCCAGAGGTGCTCTGGAGAATCGAGCATCCAGCTTAAACACAGGAGATGGAATCAAGCCATCAATGGTAAGAAGATATTTTTTTTTTCTGTCCCACTGTCCTTTCCAGGAGCCACCAGGCTTAGAGGCTAAGATAAGAGGAAGGGCCCATAACTCCAATTGTCTGCAATCAAATCTATTACATATAAATTGCTGTCAACAGACAAGGCTCTTGGGGCTTCCCCGGTGGCTTCAAACAATCTGCCTGCAGTGCAGGAGACACTGGAGACACAGTTTTGATCCTTCAGTCAGGAAGACTCCCTGGAGAAGGAAATGGCAACCCACTCCAGTATTCTTGCCTGAAAAATTCCATGGACAGAGGAGCCTGGAGAGCTACAGTCCAAAGGTTGCAAAGAGTCAGACACAACTGAGCATGCACACAAACAAACAAAAGATCAGGCTGTTAACCTCTCCGAGCCTCAGTTTCCTCCTCTGCAAATCAGGGCTGAGGAAAATTAAAGCTTCGACAAAAGATGGGTGTCATGAGGAGATGGGAGCTAATCCATGTACTGGGGGCACACCTGACCTGTCTACTGCTGTTTTGGCACCACAGAGCCCATATGCCTTTGTCTGCCTTCCCCACTCCCTGCAGAGAACTCAGAGGTGGCCAGGTGGGGGCAGGTAGGGTGCTGAATTCAACCACATACCATTCAGATACCAGGTCAAGGAGGCTGGAGAGACCATGCAGGTGGGTGCTGAATGGGGGGAGGGCTAGCATGTCCCAGGGATGGGGGCACCAGACACCCCTGCAGTGACCCCATCACCCAAAAGTGTCTCAGCAGGCCACCCCCAGCATCAGAGCCCAGAACCCAGTCTAGGGATAGACTCATGGCTTCAGGACAGATTCTTGTGTCTCAGTGAGCCAGAAATGCCCACTATTTGGGGCAGAGCTCTGGCCTGGGAGACAAGGAGCCTGGACGGGGCGGTGTGACCCAGGCAGGAGCTCCCATCTCCAGCCTGTCTCCCTCAGTCCCAGAGGGGACTGAGATCTCTCCACCCCTGAACACCAGAGTCTCTCCCAGACACGCTCCTCTCTCTTCTGTAGTATCACCACCCAAGCTGGTGTGCCAGGTCCAGGGAGGGCACACAGAGCCAGCCAGCCAGGCCAAGATCATCCAGGAACATCAGGGCAGGGAGGAAAGAAGAGAGAGGCTCCAGAGAAATGGCAACTCCTTGGAAGTGGAAGAGTGGAGCCTCTGGAAATGCAGGAAGGTGGAAAGGAATGCCCTGGCCCCAGCTGACCCCTCTGCCACCCCATCAGAGGCTCTGGGGGAGCAAATCAGAGTCTGTGCTATTTACACTTCACATTTAAGATGAAACCAGGGTGGAGAAAGGAGAAGAGGAGACAGATGAATGGGAAGGAGGGGAGGGAGGAGACCGAGGCACCTTCTCACAGCCCTGGGAACAGAGCTGCACTTGACCAAGGCCCCCTGCCCTCCAGGCTCAGCTCCCAGAAGGTGGGCTCGGGTCTCAGCCACCATCCACAGAGGGCTGGGTGCCCACCCTCTCCCAGGTTCTCTGCATGTACTATCTCCTGTGGGTTTAGTATATTCATGCCCATTTAACAAAGAAGGACAGAAGTCGAGGAGCCTGCTCGAGGCCACGCCAGCGGCAAGTGCTGAGTCTCAAACCAAGTCTCACTCATCCAAAGACAACTGCTCTTGACCGTGTATTTCCTCTCCAGTCCCGGAGACAGGGGGATGCACATAATAGGTGATGTATAAATAATAGATCAAAGGCAGGAAGAAGGGAGAGCTGGGGGAAGAAAGAAGAGAGGAGAAGTCAGGGAGACTCTTAAACGCAGATAGAAAATAAACAGTCAAGGTGCTATTTTCCAATGCCAGGCTGGCACGGTGCCCAGGATGGCTGCCCTGCACTTGGGAGCCCAGGGACTGCGCTTGCCTCATCTTTTCCAGAGGTATGTAAGCCTAGATACGTCAGCCTTCAGGTATGCAGTGAGGTCTGCGGTGAGAGGCATTGCTCTCGCCCTCTCTCTCTCTTGCCTCTCTTTCTTCTTCCTTGTTGAATCTGTCCTTCCTCTGGCTACCTCCCCACCCCCAGCCAGCCAGCCAGCCCAGCCCAGCCCGTTTCCCCTTCCCCTGGAGCCAGGCCAGGCTTGGTCGGGAGACCAATGACAATGAACAGCCCCCTCAGCCTGGTAGATTCCTGCCCGGGGAGGAGATGGGTACATGGTGCCGGGGGGAGGGGCGGGAGCCGCATCATCTAACAGGTTGGTCTGGCTGGGAGGGGAGGCGTCCCGCCCTCGTGGAGCTAATGAGCACTGTGCGACAGGTGTCTGCTCCTCAGTCCCCAGCCTGCCCTGCCTGCGACGGGAGCAAGCCGCTGCCACCCCGCAAAGGCTCGCTCGCCGGTCCCTGCGCCCTGCGCGCTCCGGGGCCCGGGGGCAGCGATGGCCTGCCGCTCCTGCGTCGTTGGCTTCAGCAGCCTGAGCAGCTGTGAGGTGACCCCAGCGGGCAGCCCCCGGCCTGCGACCTCCAGATGGAGCAGCTGCGGGGCACCCGGGCCGAGCTTCAGCTCCCACAGCCTCACAGGCTGCTGGACAGCCGGCACCGTCCCCAAGGTGACCGTGAACCCCAGCCTGCTGGTACCCCTGGATCTCAAGGTGGACCCAGCCATCCAGCAGCAGAAGAACAGCGAGAAGGAGGAAATGAAGGTCCTCAACGACAAATTCGCCTCCCTGATTGGCAAGGTGAGCAGAAGTTGGGGGAGGGGTCCCCAAACTAAGGCCAGCCGGGCTGGGTCAGGTGACTGACCTCTGTAATTCCCCCCAGCATCATGCCCCACCCCCGCCCCCAGCCCAGCCAATGGGAAGCCAGCATTGCCAACTTCGCGGGCTAGCTTTGAGTAGAGAGAAGGATAAGGGGGAAGTCCCTAGCCATCCTGACTTCGGGGAGCAAAGGAAGTCAGGATGGCCTGCCTGTGAGGGGTGTCTGGATAATAATGCGCTGCATGGCCTGGGGTCACCCTCCCGGCAGGCAGGGGCTAGGGAGGGGCTCTGAGTGTGACCAAGAGGAGGCCCCCTCGTGGGAACAGCTGACAGAGGCATGGGCTGCATTCAGACTCCACAGTGGATGAACAGGGCTCACCTTCCTGTCCAGGCCCTTGGATCTGTTCAGCTTCCCAGGGTCAGAAGTGCTGACATGGACAAGGGGGCGTGTGGGGCAGCCAGAAGGAAGCTGAGCAGCATGGGGTACACCTGTGGTTCCTCAGGAGTAGGAATGTGGGGGATGGGTGCTGCTAGTCTGAAACAGGTGGCCAGCCAGTCTTCCATGCCCCAACCAGAGCAGAGTGACTGAGTCCCTCACACCTCACTTCCTGGACCCACTGCCATGGCCAGCATTCTGATCTGGGCACTGGTGTCAAGCTCTGGCCCAGGGCAGGGGCTTCAAGAGCTCCAAGGAAGTCCTGTCCACCTCCCAAACCTGCTCCTCACTCACCTCCTCCAAGAAACCTCCCATGACCAGCCCTCCTAGTTCTGCTTCCTCCCGCCCTGACTGAGAATAATAGATGGTAACAGCTACTGTTGATTAACTGCCTACCCTGCGCCAGGAACTGTGCTGAGTGCATATTTATTTCTATTTCCATCAGCCTTAGGAAAGAAGTTACTTATGTGCCCATTTCACAGCTTTCTCACTCCCCTATCCTGCTGCCCCGGGCTGGGTCCTCCTCTGCCCCTTGCTCTTGCTGCCTCGGGGCCCCTCTACACAGGGTTGGTGTCCCCCCACTGGGGGTGGGCTCACCGAGGGGAGCAGGGGGGATGAAGTAACAGGCCTGGAGCCTCAGCTGGTGTTCTGGCCCCACTGCCCAGCACTCCACAACGGCTGGTTCCCCTGCCATGCCAATGGGGAGATGCAGCTGCCCAGAGGCAAAGCGCTTCGCCCAAGGTCACACAGCCAGCAAGGTCTGGACTTGAACTCAGGTCTGTGAGGCATAAAGCCTCTGAAATGGGAGTCATTTCTCCCCACCTTGCCCCCACATCCGAGTGCCTACACCAGCATTCCTGCACTCACACCTGGGGTGCCTGGGGTGGGGGTGTGTAGGGGGAGTGACAGCTGGAGGACAACCATCCTCTGAGATGGAGCATCCCCTCCATCACCCCCGGTGGCTGCACAGCACTCAGACTGCCAGGCGATCCACCCTAAGAGAAGAGCCCGCTGCCCGAGGGAGGCAGGTCCCTGCAGAACCACCTCCTCTCCAAACACAGCTTAATCCCTTAAAAGGAATGCTTCATGAGCTATGTAATTTGGCTTCGATGGGTGGCTTTTCTCCGTGAACGCCAGGGCTGATATCACCCTGTGCCTCTGCCATGGGGACAGAAGGGGTATATAGGCATAGGGAAGGGCCCCAGGGGTCTGGGTTCTGTTCCCAGAGCCAGGGCAATGCCCTCGAAGGTCTTTAGAAGAACTCGAGTTTCCCAACCCCCAGTTCAAGCCTTGGTCTTGAGACCGGTGCTCTCCATGGTGGCACACGGGCAACTGGGGGTGCCAGCCTCTTGGGGAACCTGATCGCCGGAGCTCTGCCCAAGGAGACCCAACTGATCCACCAACTCTATGGAGAAAGTCTGTTATTTGCTCATATCCCTCCTTGAAAAGACCACGAGGGCCCAAGTGGAAGCAAGCAGAGGTTAGAATGTGAAACCCGGAGTCATATTTCTGGGTTTGAATCCTGGCCTCACCGCTCACGTTTGTGTAATCTCAGGGACATTATTTAACCTCTCTGGGCCTCAGTATTGTCAGAATCGAATGGGATCATTTCTGAAAAACACATAGAAAGCCCTTACCAGGTACCAGATGTGTTCTGTTTGTTATATTGAAAAGACCATACGTGGGTCCAGCCCAGAGAACTCCAGCCCAGGGCATTAAGTCCCTGGCAGGAGGAAGGACTTCCCAGGTGGTGCCAATGGTAAAGAACCTGCCTGCCAATGCAGGAGGCATAAGAGACATAGGTTCGATCCCTGGGTCAGAAAGATTCCCTGGGGAGGGCATGGTAACCCACTCCAGTATTCTTGCCTGGATAATCCCATGGGCAGAGGAGCCTGGCGGGCTACACAGTCCATAAGGTCGCAAACAGCTGGACACGACTAAAGCGATTTAGCACGCATGCAAGCAGGAAGGAGCCTGGGAAGGAGGGAAGGGCCCTGCTGGAGGGTGGGGTGGAGGAGCTTCATGGGTAGGAGTGCAGCATGGAGCTGGAAAGAGCTGCAGGAGCCCAGGGTGAGATGCCATCACCAGTGCAGGGGTAGGGTTCTAGGCAAAGAGAAGAGACTGGCAGGGTGGCCCTCCATCCTTGGCCCTCTGAGGCATGCAGAAAAAACAGAGATCATTGAGGAAGAGCAGGAAGAAGAGGGGAAGGGTTGGCGAGGGGACCCACAGGAGTCCCACAAGGGGCCCTGGAGCAGTGACAATCCTTTCACTTGTAGGCTGTGTTTCCTTGGGCAAGCCACTTACTCACTCTGTGCTTCAGATTCCAACTCCAATTCTGCTCCTGCTCCAGTGGTAGCCTTTCATGCCAGTCAAGAGACTAGTACAGCTGCAGCCGTGAAGGAGAAGGATGAGCAGAAGCAGCATCAGGAAAGGAGGCCAAGGGGTGGCGGGAGGGCCATGCTGACAACAGCAGAGGCTGCAGGCTGGGCCCTCAATTGCAGACACCAGAGAGGGTGGAGATGGGACAAGCGGAAGGATTGCCAGCGGCGCCTAAGGAGGCTGTAGGGAAGGAACCCAGCGGGGTAGGCACAGTGTCTTCCCTTGACCTGTGTAGCCTCTGGAAGTCCCCGGGGCCATCCCCCTGCCTGCACGCACAAAACAGCCTTTCCTGATGGAGAGACCCTGAGGCTCCTGGGCAAAGCCAAGTTGGGGCTGGAGGCAGAGGATCTGACACCGCCCCCTTCCTGAGGAATAGGACCTGCAAGCACCAGAGGCATCCCTCTGCACACTCACCTGCCTGGGCTGTGGGCCCATGGGTTGGCACATGCAGCCCCCCAGATAGTCAGCCTCCCTCCTCTGGAGGGCCCCAGCCCAGCCCAGGCTGCTCCGTCCCCCGCAACAGAAAGCACATCTCTCTCCACCCTCGTCTGGGCCTGCTTTTGAGTCAGAAGGCCCACGACCCTGGAGTTGGGTCACAGTGAGTTCTGTGCTTCTGAGCCTCAGTTTCCTGATCTGCAAAATGGGAAGCAAGTAGACCAGGGGCTTGCTCTCTGAGGCCCCTCCTAGAGCTGCTGCCTAGATCAAAGGGCAGGGGGTCAGCCAGGATAAGCAGAAAGAGGAATGAGAGGGGAGTGCTTGGCAGCCTTGACAGGTTGAAAGAAGTAAAGCTGGCACCTCACAGGGTACTGGGATTTCCGCCCTTCCCTCGCCTTTGTTCCTAGAGGGAGGAACCTTTAAGCATGGAAGGTTCTGGGTGGGGGGTGAGTTCCCATCCCCACCCACTGAGACAACAAGCAACTCCCCCAAGTAGGGGGAGGAGGCTTCCCTAAATCCCCTGCAACCAAAAATGCCCTCTGACTAGACTGGCTGGCCAAATGCATACTGTCTCCCAGCAGGCAGGTACTGAAGCATAGGGTATCAAAATTAGACTACAGGGAGGACTTTCTGGTCTAAAGGGTTTGGTGTTGCTTACGGGTGGAGGAGGGAGCCTCACATCTCTTGTCTCACCCTACCCTCAGTATAAACATGGGGCTCCTACTTGTCCAAACGCAGGGCAGGTGGAGTGAGCCGAAACCTCCCACCACCCCCAGCAATCCCTCACACATGCGAGTAGGACAGAAACCCTCTTGACCGCATCCCTACTGAACCTGTTTGGCTGCGACGACTGCACACTGTTGGCTTAAAGTCGGCTTCAAGCAGAGTTTACCAGTACAAATGGGAGTTAAGGAGGGGAATGACAGCCCACAAATGTCATTGTTCAGTGTTCCCACAGATGTCGTCTCCTGCAAATGTCAAAGGGGCCTCCCCCAGGGCATCAGAGATCTCAGGGAAACCCGGGGCTGTAGGTAGGTCAAACAGAGAGGGGGAGAGGCCACCTGGCACCCAGGTTCGGGGGGAACAGGAACACGAAGGTCCAGAGTAGGCAGCCGCCATCAGATGTGCCTCTAGAGAAGCTGGGCCACGGACAGCTGTGTGAGCCTGGACAAGTCACCTCACTGCCCTGGGTCCCCATCTCCTCCTCCATAAATGAAGCATATAGACCAGCCGATCCAAAAGGCTCCTGTCTGTGGTTCTGGCTCTTTCGGGCTGTGATCCTGGGAGCTGGTGCCAGCAGTGGATGGAAAGACTTTCAGCTACACACTGTGGTCATAGGGAACATCATTGAGCTGGTTGTCACAACACTCTCATGACAACAGCCTGCCCCATTCAGGAGCCCAGCCCCAGCCACCCATCTTGCCTCAGTGGCCCTAGACACATCCCAAGAGGCATGCAGATGACTCTCAGTCTGACATTGAGGGTGGTAGATGAGGACAAATGAGAAGCATATACCCCAAGGGTCAGATATTGGAGGTAAGAGGGGAGGCTTCCTACAGGGGGTGCTGGGAGCACATGGTGGGGGGGGGGGATGGTAGGAAGGAGAATGATGCTCAAGAGAGAGGCTGGACCTGGAGAGGACAGGCGGGGTGCAGAAGAGGGAGGGGGACTCCCAAGCTCCACTGGGCTGAACTGGATGGAGGGAATAAGAGGACCCAAGAGGGACTCTGCCCACCTGCTGGTCGGTGGCTGGGGTGGAAGCCGTGCAAATCCCTGCAGAAGTCTGAGTTTGAGGGTATGAGGGATGCAGAGTTTCAGAGGAGCCCTGGGCCCAGAGCCCTCCCAGGCTTTGTCCTCAAGGCAAGTCCGGCCCCAACTAGAGGTAGAAGCCAGCCCAGCAAGGGCAACTGGGCCCGCAGAGAACTTGCAGCAGACCAGAGGCTTATAGGGCAGTGGCTCAAAGATTCTAAACCTCAAAGTGCTTGCATTCAACCCTTTGGCCTGCTGCTTGCTAACTGTGTGACCTTGGGAGGATAATTTCCCCTTCCTGTGCCCTGTCTCGTCGTCTGTAGAGTGCAGCTGATAACAATACCTTCCCCGGCGGGTTGTTTGGGAGTTTGAGTTAAAGATTCCAGCTCATAGAACAAGGCCTCGTGCACAGCAGGGACCACAGGAGCATTTGCTATGTGTTGCTCCAAAGCACCTCCCCAGGTTTTTCTCTTTGCAGGCCGGCAGGGCAAGTGACATCATCCCTGACTTCCAGCTGGGGAAACTGAGGCTTGGACAGACCTCAAGTCCAGGGATGTTAGGAGGATTAGCATTTAAAAACTAACCAGGCCCTACCCTGCTGTTTCCAAAGCCAGATGAGACCAGACTTGTCGAGGTGGGCGGCAGACAGGCCTCTTGACACCCCACGTTCCCTGGGGTCTCCCACCCAAGCCCCAGGCGGCCTGGAGAACCTGTCACATGTGGGCACATTCACCGCTTGGTCCCTTTTCCTTCATCTTGCTGGTCCTGCCCCTCCTGTAGGAAACCTTGGCTAATTGGCTGTGCCTTTATGGGATTCTCGGATTCCCCCCGTTATCGCACCATCTGCAATTGAACAATCAGTAACTGGAGATGCCACCTGAAGGTGCTGAGTGAGGGCCCCAGGCGGGTGCCTCTGAGTAGATGAGCTGCCACGTCCCAGAGAGGCCCCCGGGGGGGGCCAGGTGGCACTGGCTGGGCCACACCTGGCCTTCTTACCACCACCCTCCCGCTCTCCCAGGTGCAAGCCCTGGAGCAGCGCAACCAGCTGCTGGAGACCCGCTGGCACTTCCTGCAGAGCCAGGACTCGACCACCTTTGACCTTGGGCACCTCTACAAGGAGTACCAAGGCCGGCTGCAGGAGGAGCTGCGCAAAGTGAGCAAGGAGCGGGGCCAGCTCGAGGCCAACCTGCTGCAGGTGCTGGAGAAGGTGGAGGAGTTCCGGATCAGGTAGGGGCGCCCTATGAGGGCCGAGGGTGGGGACCAACCTTCACGCGGGGGGGCAAGGTCCGGGGGCCCAGGCCAGAAAAAGAGGAAACTTCTTTGAAAAACCAGTCTTTGGTCCATACTTACTTACTAAAGAGCTGCAATGTGCCAGCGGTATTCTAAATACTGGGAAGACAAGACGGTGAATCTACAGCTACATCCCAAGCAGTGCCCCTTATAAGAAAGCCAGTCTCATGCTGGCTGACAGCTACGCTGAGCTTGCTAGCCTCTGGGCATCACAGGCCCATCCCCTACCCCATCCCCTTGAGCCCAAGTCCATGGGAAATTGTGTCACTAGCGAGAGCAATAGGTGGGCTCCTGCTTTGGCTGTAGCTTGAGATTTTGATCTCTCTTGAGCTGAAAAGGGAAGAGGGTAGGGGAAGGCAGGGGGCAGAAATGATGAGGTTTGTTTGCATAAAGAAGCAACCGCCTAGAAGTAAGACACACCTGACCTCGATGGCAGACTTGGGGTCTAGAGAGACAAGGAAAACAGACTGGGGGCGGGGGGGGGGGGGGGGCAAGCAGCTGGCAGGCAGTACAGTCCAGTGGTTAAGGGTCTGAGCTTGGGTATGACTGTGTCCCATGGAAGGGGGTTACTCCTTGCCCATACCACTCACCATCTCTGTGACCTCGGGCAAGTTGCTTCACACACGAACCTCAGTGTCCTCCTGTGTGGAGTGGGAATGGTGATGGTTGATACCAAGCTAAGGCTGGTGTGAGGAGGAAGCCAAGAATTTGGCATGGCTACCAGAGGTTAAAAATGGGTACTCTTCTGCCCCCCAAAGAAGGCTCCATGACCAGCACACAGCAGTTTGCTGAACTGAATTGGCCAGTCTAGAAAGGCAAACCAGTTAACTTCAGTAGCTCAGAGGAGAGGTGACCTTCTCTGACCAGACAGTGGTCAGGGCTTCAAGGACAGGGAAGCTGGGCCAGAGCAGAGAGGCTGGTCTCTTTGCTGGAGGCCCCCAGCCAGAGGGAAGGAAGGACAGGGTGCAGTTGAAGCAGCCCCCACCTTCTGCAGGACTTGGGCCAGATCCAAGCCTTGTGATCTGAGGTGAGGCCCAAAGCCTCCCAAGACAGAGGGCGGAGGCAGCCTGTCAGGAGTCCTGGGCTGTGGCACAACCTTTGCCCGCGACCTCTCTGCGTGGCCTCCCCTGCTCAGACCACATGCAGAAGGAATGGTCACACAGGAAGTGTTTCCCTCTCTGGGGACCTCAGGGTTTCCTCATCTGTGGATCTGCTGGGCCCCTCCCTGACCTGGATCGGGGGGCACTTCTCCCCCTACCCTGTCCTCCCAGGTCCTTGGGAAATACGCAGGGAATTAGACTGCCCATTCTGACGGCGACGAGGGAAATCACATTGGTGCGCCAGAACCCAAGACTCAGTTCACTGATACCTAGCAGGTCCTCCTTGGCCCGCAAAGGATCAGTGAATAGCAGAGCTGGGTGGGGACTTGGATTCTCCTTTTATGGAGACAGAAACAGAGGTCCAGAGAGGGTGGGGGCGTGTCCTTAGTCACACAGCCACGAGAACAAAGTCCCATCCCTCACCTGGCAAGCTACTGTGTGACACTGGTCCCATGAGAGCAGCCGGATGGCATCCATGGAGGCACTTTGTAACTGGAAGTTCTATACAAACACTACTTGTTGTTTTAATCTGGCTCAGCCCCCTCATTTGGCCCGCTGCCTGGTTTCCATCTGCTGCCTGATTTTACTGTTTAGGCTCAGGGCCTCTCTTCCCCCTCTCTGGGTAGGGAGCCCACTGAATTGGGGGAAGTGAGGCTAGAGGGTTTCTGGGTCTGCAGGCCAGAGCCAGGAAAGCTGCAGCCTGGCTGTGCAAAGCCTGGGGCCCCCAGGAGCCAGGAGACTCCAGGCCAAGCCCTGACAGGGAGGGGTGTACTTTGTCTCTACAAGGCTGATGAGATCAGCTTCACTCCTAGAAATAAACAAGTTTGGGGGGGTGGAGAGGGTACGGGTGTAACCAGCTGAAAAGGGCTGAGAATGGGTTTGGGAGCTGGCGGCTAGCATACGGGCAGGGGATTGGAAGTGAATGGGGGATATGGCATTGCATAAGCCTCTATAGGAATGAAGACTTCTAGAAGCTCTGATGTAGCAGGGACCCCAAGGGTAGCTGGCTAACCCCTCTGTTTACTTGCAGAGGCCCAGAAAGGGGAAGCAACTTGCCCAAGGCCACATAGCGAGTGATTCAGAAATGTTATGTACAATTGTGCAAGCTGTCTGGGGGTGAACTGGGATTGAAATGCAGTGGAGTCGATGAGAAGGGAGGTGGGAAAGCTGAGAAGGGCAGTGAGGGGTAAGGGGAGGTTTGGTACCTCAGAGGGCTCCCACTGGACAGCTCTCTCCAATGCCCTTTTCCCAGGCAGGCAGAACTCTGTTATCCAGAGGAGAGGGGAGAGGCTGGACACAGGGCTTGCTTGGGGAGGGCCAGTCAATTTGGACTTCTCAGCTTGGGGCTCCCCAGACCCCTGTTCTCAAGTCAGGAAATTTTTCAGAGGCCCCCAGATCCCAGGGGGAAACTTGTTCAGGTCAGCCCAGCCCTGAGCATTTGTGAAGACTATAAAGAGACCTGCCCACTCCCTCTGCAGTGAGGATTCCCATGGTTTCTTTCTGGAAATGCTGACAGAGGGGCTGAGCTGGGACACGGTGTTGGTGAAGGTGAAAGTTGTTCAGTTGTGTCCGACTCTTTGCGACCCTATAGACTGGGGCCCACCAGGCTCCTCTGTCCGTGGAATTCTCCAGGCCAGAATACTTAAGTGGGTAGCCATTCCCTTCCCCCAGGAGATCTTCCCAACCCAGGAATCAAACCCAGGTCTCCTGCATTGCAGGCAGATTCTTCTGAGCCACCATGGAAGCCCTGGTGTTGGAAAGGATGGTGATAGTAATAGCAGTAGCCGTAGTGGGTGTCACGCACCTTTGTAAATGCTTTATGTGTTCATTTATTTAATCCTCATGAAATCAACATTATTGTGACAAGGGCACATAAAAGGAGCCTATCCAAGGTCACATAGCTAGTTAACAAGAGAGCCAGAATTTGAGCCCAGATAGTCTGGCTCTGGAACCCCATTCTTAATCAGCACATGACTCAAGCTTCCAAGCCTCTCTCTGAGCCTCCATCTCCTCATCTGTGAAACAAGACCAAGAGAACATCCCTGGCTGGGAGCTCTGAGGGTCACAGGCGAGGCATTTTGTTTGCCTTGGCAGGCTCCAGATTGCAGACCAGTCTCCCTGACCCACCCCACCACCCTGTCCCCATGGCCTGTACCCTCAGGGACCCTCAAAGACTCTGGAAGCCCAGGCAGTGGCCAGGGAGAGTGTGGACCCTCCACATACTGAATGTCAGGGACCTGAGTGCTCTGCGGGCTCTCGGCCTCTGGGGTCTGCTCCCCTTAGTCCCTCTGGGAAGCTAGTGAAAGAGAAGGCCTGGGGGTGGCAGGTCCAGCTACCTGACCTGGGTGATGGCTGATGCTGCCCCTTCTGTGAGGTCAGGGGCTGGGGCAGGCAGGCGGCTGTAATTAGAGCCGCCAATGATTCAGGCATTCCCTAGACAGGAGGGAAGGCAACAGGAAGCCACAGAATCCCCATGTCAGCTGGGGCAGGCAGAGCTGGGATGGGAAGCATGCAGCTGGCAGACACCCATCCTGGGGGCCCAGAGGGTAAGGTCAAGGATCCAGGGATCCCATCTCCCCACCCAGCAGTGTCCTGGTTCTGAACACAAGGTGGACTCGACACATCTCATCACATGTGTAAGAAGGAGACACATCTGAGAAGACAGGGAACACAACTTTGGAGTGCTGGTGAATTTCAGCCCCCATGACGCAAGCACCCATGCACGTGCGCACGTGCACACCCCAATAGACAAGGGAGGGGAGGAGTTTCTTGCCCTGAAACATATGGGGGGGCCCACCTGACTGCAAAACCCATGCCCTTCCTGTCCTCTCTCCAGAGGGAAGATGGCATGGTGTCCTGCTGTCTAGCAAAGCAGTGGGAGAAGCGTGGGGCTTCGGGGAAGGGTGGAGTGAGGAGAGGATGACATGTGAGCAAGATGCTTGGAGCAGACACCAGAAAAGGCACAGCTTGTTTGAAACTGAGACTCTCGGGGGAGGAGATGGGATAAAGATTAGGGAACAAAACGTCAGGGTAAAGCGACTATGCAATCAGGAGAGGCTTCCTGGAGGAAATGAATGTGGAGCAGAGCCAGGAAAGGGGCAGATGTGCCTGGGAGAGGAATGGCTGGTCATCAGGAAGGAGTAAGCACAGGGAGCAGGATGCCTGCTTCCCCAGAGCCAACACTAGGGTATCCCGGAGGAGAGGGGACATGTCATAGAGACACAGCGCTGCATCCTCCTCAGGGAAGGGACCACTTTATTCTAACTGCCACAAGGCACCAAAGGGATTGCAGAGGCCCCAAGCCCCACCCAAGGAGGGTTAAGCAAACCATTGCCAAGTCCACCACATCCAGCTGAGCAGTCTCTCCATGTGTGTGTGTGTGTGTCCCTGCCTCCCCTTCTCCTTCCTCCCCACCTCCCAGGTATGAGGATGAGATCTCCAAGCGCACGGACATGGAGTTCACCTTCGTCCAGCTGAAGAAGGTAGCCTCCCCAGCCCATCCCATGGGCTCCTTCCTCAGGGACCCTCTGCCCTCTTTCGTTCAGGATCCCCAAACAGAGGCCCCACAGGCTGAGTCCCAAGACCACAGGCAGAGAGCTAAGCACATGTCCCCACCCTCCTCCAAGGCTCTAAGCCAGGTCTCCTCTGGGAATCTCCCCCATCGTATTCAGGAAGCAAAGTCCCCCCTTACCGTACCCCTGCCCTGGGACCCCTCCATTCCTTTTCCCATCATTCACCACTGCTCCCACCCCCAGGACCTGGATGCAGAATGTCTTCGACGGACGGAACTGGAGACCAAGTTAAAAGGCCTGCAGAGCTTTGTGGAGCTGATGAAAAGCATCTATGAGCAGGTGAGAAGATGGGGCCAGGGTCCCGCTGAGCCAAAAGCCAACTGGTCCCCAGGTAAGGGATGCAGGGGAGGCAAAGGTATCCAGTGGGTCATGGAAACTTCAGCAGGCGCTCACAGTTGCTGGCCACAGATGCAACAATTTCCTAAACCCCTCGTGTGCTGCAGTCAATAACCCAACATGTCCCCTTGTCACTCATCTCATGGAGCATGGCAGGTTCCCACAAAGCCTCTCTCAGGGAGGGCCCCACTTTCACGTGTTGGGGAGCACTGAGGGCTTGAAGGGGCCCAGGTACATCCAGGGAAGGGTCAGGAGGTGGCCTTGGAGCAGTGAACCAGGAGTCTTTGAACAGTAGTTCTTATTGAACTAATTTCTCTCTCATCACTGCAGCTTAAATTGCAAACACCCACAGCTCTAGCTCTCATAGGCCTGCAATGCATCCTCCCCCATTTTGGGCTCATACAGGGAAGATTTATAGACAGATTCTCTGCTAATCAGACAATACGAACTTCTTCCAGACAAAAAATGACTCAGAAAGGACTTCCCTGGTGGTCCAGAGGTTAAGACTCCTTGTTTTCACTGCAGGGGCCATGAGTTCAATCCCTAGTCAAGGAACTTAAGATCCCACAAGCCATATGGTATGGCCAAAAACAAACAAACAAAAAATCCCAGTCGCAGTAAATGCAGACAGAGGAGCCCCCGGACACATTCTCATTTGTCCCTAGGCCCTCACTGTCCCTGGGGGGGACAGTAGCCCAGCATGGCTTGTCCCATAGCCAGTGCCACTGGCAGATGAATTCTGGACTCTGCCCCTCGGCACCGTCTGCCTCCTGGGCTTCCTTTGGGATGTGTGCTCTCCTCTCTACATTCCCCATCTTCTCGGGGGTGAGGAGGCTAATGGGGTGATGCTTCGATTCAGCTACAAGCAGGCAGGACCATTACTGAGAGTGACAGGGCACAGCAACCTGTGTGCTGTAAGCCGCTGGTGCCAGGCTGTGGCAACGCAGCCCCGGGCAGAGCAGGGGTCAAAGTCACACTGCAGCCAGGAAGATCTGCAGGGGGCCCGAGGGGCTGCTGACCAGGGCCTCAGGGCCTCGCCCTGTGGAGAGGGAGATTGGGCCTCGAGGCTACGCATGGACCTGAGACCTCTGTGCAGCCGTGGGAGGGAGCAGAATAGAGGGAACCTCCCAACACTTGCCCGCATTAGGGAGGCAGCCCTCACGCGCAGACCACCCTGAAACACATCTTGCCCCCGGCAGGGTCCTCCACAGCCGGCCCAAGCCCTGAGGGGCTCACCAGGGCCCCGTGCCCACTGAGTGGCTTGGGAAGTGGCTGAGAGCTTCCTCTGCCTACACTCACCAGGGCTGGTACCACCCAGCAGACGTCAGCAGGGCCACAGTTTCAGGGCCTCCAGTCCATCCTGCTCGCCAACATCTCAAGGAGCCCAGGGCCAGGCGGAGGCCCAAACAGGTGTAGAGACATAGCTGAGGAAGGCTGGCCATAGCCAGTCATATACCTGAGCATTGAGAAGACACACCTGCTGAACTTCTGGGCCACGCCCCACAGCCAGGCTGCTGACTCCATTTGGACTTGGCAGCCCTTGGGCCCCAATCCTGACTCTACCTTTTTTTCCCACCATTTCTGTGACTTGGGGCAAGTTATTTCTCCTCTCTGTGCCTCACTTTCCTCATCTGTTAAATGGGAAGAGTGATAGTAGCAGGTTCATCATGCTGTGATGGGGTAAATCACTTAACAAATGTTTATGGCATGCCTGCTAGGTAGCAGGCACTGACCTCACAGCTGTGAGCCAGGCGGGCCAGTTTCCTGCCTTCAGGAGAGCACAATTTAGCTAAGAGGGCACAGGTGATAGGCTAATAAACACATCTGGACAAGATCGTTTTGGAGGGGAAAAGTTGCTGGTATGCAAAGAAACTGGGCTATGCCTTAGTGCTAGAGGGGCTGGGGGCCGTGTGTCTCTGAGGAGGCCCAAGAGAGTGAAGCCCCAACCTGGAAAGATCCAACTCAGCAGAGACTTGAAAAGGCTTCAGCAGAAGGAAGGACTGTGTGAAACACCTGAGACGGGAATGATATGATCTGGGAGGGAGAGAAAGTGGCAGCTGTGGCTAAGACAGCGTGGGCAAGGGCCAGGTCGTGCAGGGCCAGAGGCCCAGGATGGGGTGTGGACATTATTCTAAGCAGGATGGGCAGCCCTTGGTGGAGACGGAGGCGGGGTGCTGTTGGAGGGCTGCTGTGGAGAAGGGGCCACAGTGAATGCAAGAGTGCATGATTACATACGTGTACATGTGCAGTGACTCAGTCGTGTCCGACTCTTTGTGACCCCCAATGACTGTACTCCGCTAGGCTCCTCTGTCCATGGGATTCTCCAGGCAAGAATACTGGAGTTGGTTGCTGGGCCCTCCTCCAGGGGATCTTCCTGACCCAATTATTACATACACATTCTAGTCTATTCTATCATATCACATTGTATTTATACTATATTATATTGATACTAACATATTATATTGATATTATCATATATTATAACATAATGTATGTAATATAGTGTATATATATAGTATATATTATTATATAATATGCATTACATATAATGTGTAATAATAAAATATTTTCTATATTATATACTATATAATCATATTTTATTATTTTATTTATAATATATTAATATAATATAATAATAAGTTAATTAAAATAATAAAATATGACTATATAGTATACAATGTATAAAATAATATTTTATTATTATTACACATTATATAATGCATATATATACTATTATATATAATAATAGCAGTTATTATTGTTTTGGAAGACAGCGAGGTGGCAAGTTGGTGTTGGGACATGAGGTTTGAGTTTCCTTCCATGTACCTCTGCAGGCTGAGAGGGCAACATTGACCCATAAAGATTCCCCATACCAATGGGTCTCTAAGCTGGCCTGCCTAGTAGAATATAATACAAGCCACATAGGTAATTGTAAGTTTTCCAGGAGCCACATTTTTTTTAAAAGTGAAGAAACAAAAAAAATAATTTTAATATATTCTATTAGGCCAGTATATCAAAATATGATTATTCAACAAGTAATCATTATAAAAAATGAATGGGCTATTTCACACACATTTTCCCATTGTAAGTCTTCAAAATCTGGTGTGTATTTTACACCTCTGGCTCATCTCAGTTCTGACTGGCCACATTTCAAGTGCTCACAACCACACAGGGCTAGTGGCTTCCACATAGGACAGAGCAGGTCCAAGTAAAGAAAGTTGCCAGCCTTGCCACCACAGGTGGAAGAAAAATATGGTGGGATGTGAGTAGCCCCAGGAGGGCCAGGCACTAGTCTCAACTTTGGAGTAGATACCAAAAACGCATTACTGTATAGCCCGCCCCAGGGTCCCAGGAAACAGCCCTCCCCTCTCCCCAAGACACACATACACACATTCAGGTCAGGATATTTATGGAAAGCCTTTCCCAGAAGCCAATGGCTATAGGCTTCTCAGGGCCTCATCTACACATTGCAACCACTTGGGCAATACACCTTCCCCTCACCTCCAGGGATGCCAACTGCTGACAGCACCCTGGGGCTCCCACTCCCCCTCAGCTTCCAGGATTCACCCCAGCTCCCAAGTGCACTGGGACCCGGCTGCATCCAGCCAGCAAGCCACCTGCCCCACCTGCAAACTGGTTCCAGGGAGATTAGCTATGGAATCTACTGACAAGCCCCTGCAGCCAGCACACCTCTCGGGATGCTGAGCCCTACAAAAAGGACCTGGCATGTCTAAGTGCCAGCTTTCATGATGCCTCAGGAGGCCACTCTAGAACAGGCTGCTCAAGCCCTGGACACTTCCTCCCAGCTCCATCACGTTTTCCAATCACACCAATAGTTTCCCAGCTGTTGTTTATTGAGCACCTACTATATTCCAGGCACCAGGCTGAGTGCTCTCCAGATGTAATCTCATTTAATCTTTCCAATAAACCTATAATGTAGGGAAAATTATTAAGAGAGCACAGACTTCAGAGCAGCTTGGATTTGAATCCTGGCTCCATGATTATATGGACTTGAGCCGGTTCCTTTATTTCTCAATGCCTCAATTTCCTCATCTGTAAAATGGGGAGGACAATAGTACCTAGCTCACTGGCCTGTTGTGAGGATTTATTTTGCTAGTATATCCTAAAGCACTTAGAACAGTGTCTGGCACATGGTGAGTATTTAATATCAGCTGATTTCAACTCCATAATCATACCCATTTTTCAAATGAGAAAACTGAGGATCAGCTAAGTTTGAAGACTTAGCCAGGGTTAACCCAGCTAATAAGAGGTGACATTATTCAGAGCCCAGTGCCGCTGAACACTATATTTTACTGGGCAGTACTGTTACCCCTCAGTCACCATATTCCCTGACCTGGGGGGTCACGATGACAATAGTCACACATATGGCGGCCTCCTCAGACTCTGGCTCCTAAGAAAAGCTCTAAACTTGAATCAGCTTGATTCTTGCCAGCTTGGCGATGCACTTCCTCTCCAGCTCCCCCCACCCCCACCACACCACACAAGTCAGCATTGTTATCCCTCTGCAGCCCGGCAGGGCCAGCGTGTCTGAACAGGTCTGCAGATGATCCAAGCCCTCCACTTCCTGCTTCTGTTTACCATGCTCGTGCTTACACTGGCTCTTTCCAGAAAGTACCTGAGGCTGCCCCATCAGCTGGGTTTCGCCTTTTTGCTGCAATAGTGCCCTGTGCTCTGACAGTGCCCTGGCCTTCTCCTTGCCCATAACAAATGCCACCTTAAGCCTGGGGAAGAAGTGTCCCTGGAGAACTTTGTCTGAAACACCCCCATACCTGCCAACCCCCAGCACATGGTGACCGAGAAGGCCCCAAGCTGTATCTCTGAGACTGGTTTGCCGCCAAGCCCCAGCTGGGATGTCAGTTCCATCTGGAAAATGTCAATCTCCAGTGAGGACCCAGGGAGCAGAGGTGGAGCATGAGTCTGTATTCTGGCAGGGGCTGGGGCGGCCCCCTGCTTTTGCTCAGAGATCTGTTAGATGTGTTTGAAGATCGACCAAAACCCTTCATCAGGAGACCCGCTAAAGGACAGCTGGCCACTGAACTCAGGGTCCCACCAGCTCCAGGGTGGAGACGGGTAGCCCGCCACTGCTCAAGCTTCCTTTTCCAGGAGGTGATCCCGATCACCAGGGATGCTAGTGGGCAGGGTCAGGTGGCAAGCAGACAGGGAAAGGGTGGTCTTCCTCTGCAGGCCTCGCAGCTGCCCACCCCTGCAGTCTCCAGCCACAGGGACACAAGCCGCAGGTCAGAAGTAGCAGCCTCTGCAGGCCTAGACTCCAAAGGTTCAGCCACAGCCTCTTGGAGCAAAAGGACGGATGAGGGTCAGGAGCTGGCCCAGAGTCAGAAACCAAGATTGGAATGCAGTCATGAGCCAAAAACAGAACCTGGATCTGAGCAGGCCTCCTGATCCAATTGCCCCCTTTCAGAAAATACAGAAGCCAGAGCAGCAGGCTGAACACCAGTACGCAGGGCAATCAGGAAGATTCAGACCATAGTCAAACAACCTGAGGTTCTCAGTAAGAAAAAGACGGGGGGGAAATAAAAGAGACAGAGAGATGAAGAGAGTATCTACAGAATAAGAGAAGAGATGGACCGATGGCGGTGCAGGAATCGTGTTTGGATCCTGAATCAAACAAAAAAAGGTCTTTTTTTAGTTTTCTTTAATTTTATATATTTTTTTAATTTTATATAGGGCTTCCCTAGTGGCTCAGTGGTAAAGAATCTACCTGCAATGCAGGAGACCCAGGGAAGATCCCCTGGAGAAGGGCATGGCAACCCACTCCAGTATACTTGCCTGGAGAGTTCCATGGACAGAAGAGCCTGGTGGGCTACAGTCCATGGGGCAGCAGAGTCAGACAGGACTGAGCGACTAACACACACACACACATATACACGTGTGTAAAATGGAACACGGACCAAATCTTGATGACTGAAGTAAGGGTCGAGGATGAACTGCGAACAACAGCAGTAGTAACTACGCCATCTGTATCCCGCCCCTCCTTCCCCCAGCTGAGCCCACCACGTCTCCCTGGGTGCCCGGCCCCTCTCTCTGCCTGTCAGGCTCCTCAGTCACCTGACTCACTCTGTACAATGCTGGCCACAGACACTCTGCTTACACCCACTCACTCCTCCTTTCCACACGGGGCCCCGCCCAGGCCCGAGCTGCTGATCAGCACCTCCAGGAGAAGCAGCCCAGGGCCCTGGAGGTGACACCTTGCAGCCCTTCCAAAGACCCCTGTCCCCACTGGCTTTGCTACACACCTCTGAGCCTTCACTCTGGAAAGCTATCAGACTGCAGGGCATGACAGAAGCAGATGTGGGCTTCAGCTCCCATCCCTGCCCCTCTAAGGGAACTTAGCAGGAGCAGCAAAGCTCTGGCTCCAGCCCCGCCCTCACAGCTGTTTCCATCAACTCTGGGTGCCGCAGCTTCTTCCCTGTCTGTAATCTGGGGCTGACCATTGTGCCAGCCTGGTGAGGATGAGACGTGGATATGCCTGGAAAGCACTTAGCACACACACCGCCTGGTCTCTCAGGAGCCCCCAGGGAAATGGGACGTTTTACCACTTCCAGGGGTCTCTGAGGACACAGGCTGGCATTTTCTAGGCAAAGAGGAGGACAGAGAGGAGGGGAAAGAAGGATCCCAAAGGACAGCAAGAAGATAAGATACTGAAGTTGAATACTGTCGTTGCAGCTGGGCAAGCCCTTCAGCTAGACAGGGAGGGGCAGTGAGTCTCCAGGGTGACCGGGAAGTCACCTGGGCCTCCGCTACTGGCAGGAGAGCAGGGCTGCATGATCGTCAGCCTCTGGTCCCCTCCTGCCCTCATCACTCACGGGCTTCCATTCCCACATGCATTCAGCAGAGACACTCCTCTGCCCAATACGGAGGCCTGGAGGTGAAAATGCCTCAGCCAGGCCCTCGAGGAGCTCCCGTCCTGGGAGGGCTGGGGTGGGGGAGGCCGAGCTGCACAGCGCTGAGCCTAATGATAGAATGCCCTCAGGCCTGGACGTCCTGGGCCCTTTCCTCCTCTGCCAGGAGGAAGGAGGCCCACCCTGGGAGCATACAACAGTGTATGTGTTGCGGGGGGCGGGCAGGGGGCGGATGGAGGGAACTGAAAAGGAATAAGGCTTGCAGGTGGGCCTCCAGAGCCGAGGGTCCCTCCCTGCCAAATCAGAGAGGAAAACCAACAGGTGGGTGAGTTGGGAGTTGGGGGGACTGCTTCTCAACAGTGCAAGCTCCTGCAGAGGCAGGACAGGGGGACGTTTGTCCTCTGATCATCCCTCCAGGGAGACAGAGAGAAACCTGCCCTCCACCCACCAGGGAACAAAGAGACTATGAGGACTATGGCTGAGGGTCTGGGCCCCCCCACCAGCCCTGAGCCCCCATATCTGTGCCCATCAGGAGCTGAAGGACCTGGCAGCCCAGTTGAAGGATGTGTCGGTGACCGTGGGTATGGACAGCCGCTGCCACATCGACCTGAGCGGCATCGTGGAGGAAGTGAAGGCCCAATATGATGCCATCGCGGCTCGCAGCCTGGAGGAGGCCGAGGCGTACTCCCGGAGCCAGGTTCGGGGCTGGCAGGCAGGCTGGGGGGATGCAACCAGGGCAAGATGGGCAGCAGCAGAGATGGCTAAGGCCGCCTGCAGCTCTGGGTGCTGAGAGGCCAGGAGAGATGAATGGGGAGACACGGGGGCGATGGAGCCCGCAGCAGTGAGTTCACAGGCAGGGACGGAGAATGTGAGAGCCCAGCGATGTGCCAGGCCACAGGGGTGATGGGGACACGGGCAAGCCATGGTCTGCACCCTACAGAGGCTCATGGTGGTGGTTGCACCCAGTGACTCCAGTCCAGGTGTGGGCACAGCCCGTGGGGCTCAGTCTAGGGCGGCCAAGAGAGGGGATCCTGAGACGGACATGGTGGGGGCAGGAGCCGGGAAGTGGGGGAGACGCTGGCCTGGGAGTGGTGAGCCACAGAGGAGGGGATGAAGCCAAGGGTAAGGAAGAAGGCGGGGCCAGGGGTCCTGGGGGGACACAGTGAGCTCCCCTGACTGCCACCCACTCCCTGGCCTCCAGCTGGAGGAACGTGCTGCCTGCTCGGCCGAGTTTGGGAACAGCCTCCAGAGCAGCCGCAGTGAGATCGCTGACCTCAACGTGCGCATCCAGAAGCTCCGATCACAGATCCTCTCCATCAAGAGCCACGTGAGTGTCTGGAGGACCCACCTGGGCTGGAGCAGGGCGAAGTGCGGGACACATGCTCTCTCATACCCTTCACACGCACACATACACACAAGCTCACACAGACTGTGTCCATGTGAGCCCTGGCGTTGTGACCCTGGACAGGTCACTTAGCATCCCTGTGCCTCAATTTCCTCATCTGTCCTTAGATGGCTCTGAGGACCACATGAACTTGGCCAGTAAAAGTGCTCTGTAAACTGGCCAGGGCTGTTGGAACATTGGAGGGTCCCCTACACACACACCTAGAGCCCACCCCCTCCCCCCAGGTCTCCCACCAACTCTATGGAGAGAAGCGAAGGGAAGCATAAGCCCCAGCTTCCACACAGGATGAGCCTTCAGAGAAGTGCCATCCTGGAAGGACAGCTGAGACAGTCTCCTTCGGAGCCCTGCCATATTTGGTAGCCTTGGGAAAGTGTCTCCTTAGGTCTAACTGAACGGCCTCTTGCTGCGACGCACTCCATTACTGTGCTCTGGGACGCCATGCCAAGTCCTCCCTCCCCACGCACACTCCCACCAAGGACGGAGATGGACTCCTGGCCCTGACCCGCTCTCTCCCTCCCTCCTTGCTCGCTGACCCCCCTTTCTCTCTGTCCTCCTGAACTTTCAGTGCCTGAAACTGGAGGAGAATATCAAGGTGGCTGAGGAACAGGGTGAGCTGGCCTTTCAGGATGCCAAGGCCAAGTTAGCCCAGCTGGAGGAGGCCCTGCAGCAGGCCAAGAAGGATATGGCACGGCAGCTGCGTGAATACCAGGAGCTCATGAACACCAAGCTGGCCCTGGACATCGAGATCGCCACCTACCGCAAGCTGATGGAAGGCGAGGAGAGCCGGTGAGGAGCAGGGCCAGTGGGGTGAGCCTGGGAGAGGGGGAGGGCTGGACGCCCCACAGGAAGCCAGTACCACCCCCTCTCCCCCCGCGTGATACTGTGAGCCTAGCAGGCCTGGGTTCGTTTCCTGGCTCAGCCACTTACAAACTGGAACTTCAGTCCAGTTTACTCAATTCTCAGTCTTCCTATCTGGAAAATGGACTGATCATAAGTATGCCTCACCTGTGCATACAATCCCGTGTGCAAATACCTGCCACCAATCAGTGCTCAGCAAATGATAGCCATTCATGCAGGGGAGAGGGGACAGAGCTGGCTAGCCAAAGTCACACAGCAGGGCAGCCCAGAACTGGGAGGCACAGCCAAGAATTGGCCTCCGCCTGCCAATCCCCAGGCCTCCAATCCCAGGGGAACTGACCCACAGGTTCCCTTCACATCCCACCATCTCTTCCTCCCACAGGATGGACATGCCCTCAGCCACCGTGGTCAGCGCAGTGCAGGCCAGATACAGAACAGGTGAGCCTGCTTGCCCCAAGAACCCAGGTGGGAGGAGGACAGTGGGGGGGATCATGGCCCAAAAGGCATGATATTAAATGCCTCCCAAACCTCCAGCCCCTACCCTGCCCCACCCCTTATGTTCCCTGTAGCTGTCTCCAAGTCCGGCCTCTCAAGAGCTCCCTCTCGGAAAAAGAAGAACAGGAAAGGCCCTGTGATCAAAATCACCGAAATGTCAGAAAAGTTCCTCTCGCAGGAGTCAGAGGTTTCAGAGTAAGGCCGCTGTACTCTGAGCTCCTTACTCAGGAGCCCCAGGTCACTCCCCTGCAGCAGCAAGGACATAAACTAGATTCAAGAAAGCAGCTTGGAGCCTCTAGGTTGGGAAGGGAGGCAAACCTGATCCTGAATGGAGAAGAGGGTTGAAAACAGTGACTGCTTTTTTGCGGGAATGGGACAGGACTGTCACCAGCTACTCAAAGTCACTCTGCTCCATATCAATATCTCACAATCCACCCTTCCAATATCTGGCCAGAGGTCTTCCTGCCGAGGTAAATTGGAACTGGGGTTTTGCCTCCACCTCTTTGCTCCTCGCACAACAGGGGGCTCTAACCAAGCTGCTTTTGACCCTTCACCCAACCCTTGCCCTAAACTCACATCCCAAGTCTTGCCTTGCCTCTGACTAGGAACCAAAGTGTGTGCTGTCACTCCCCTAGCCCCAGCTAGCCTCAAACCAGGGGCTGACGGGGACTACGTGGGCACCCTCCAGTATCCAGAGTTCCTGGGGAGGCACCTGGCTTTCCTGCACCAGCTGGGGTTCCCGGAGACCTGACAGTATTAGGGAGTGAGGGGAGGAGGCTCCCTGGGTGTTTGGGACCTAAGCCCAGAACTCTGAGATCAGCCCAGACACCCATGCCCCTCCCCTCCTCCTGTGAGTCCCTCCCAGCAGGTCACGGTCAGAACTGGACAGCTGTCCAGCGAGCTCCCAAGCACCTCTTCTAGAAGCTTTTCTTGCCATGACAAACTCCCTGATGGGGGAAGTGGGAAGTGGGGGAGACAGGGCAGGAGAACTGGACCCTCCTCTCTCCTTTCTGTCATCCTGGGATGCACCACCCTGCCTGGGGTCTGAGCTGTCTGCCTCCTACCCAGATGCTTCCCAGACTGAAACCTGGTTTGGGTATGCACCAGGCCCTGGAGACTCCTCTCGCCACCCCTGCCATGAAACCCCAGGCCCATTTCCCATGAATCCCACTCCTGAGGGCCTCCGTTCCCTCCATCAGGCCAAGCAGCCTGGCCCTCCCCTCTCTGCACCCACACTTATGGATCAGAGGTCCTTCCCTTCTTCCTCCTCCACGTCTGCCCCTCTGCTGCCAGCAGGGTCATGAAGAAGGCACTGTCCACTCAGGTCTGGGAACTTCTGAGCCCTCGAGGTCAGGTTGGGGGGCCCCAATGACTAACTAAAGAGAAATTCTGCAGCAGCGATCCAACAAGAAGGTTTGGGGCTTAGAGGAACGCTCCTCTTTCATCCTCTTGGCTCTCACCTTCAAGGCCTTACAGGGAATCTGGCAGCTCCACTTTCCCACTCCGTAAGCCACCTTCTCTTCCTCCCTTTCCTCTCCCTGCCTCCCCCTTGCCTACCTCCCCCTTGCCTCACCTCCTCTGCAGGACCCAGTCTTTGATTCATTCATCTCATTTTCCAGGACAGGGTGGCCCAAGGCCCCGGCCTCCTCCAGGCCTGTTGGGGGCGCTGAAGAGCTACTGACGCTCAGGCTTGAGAGAATTCAGACATATACTTATCCCTCAAGTTTCAAAAGGGTGCTGATTGCTGCTTTTTCTCCACCTATTTATTGGTTTCCATGGGAGCAAATCCTCAATGGGGATATACGATATTAAAAGTATATATATTATTTTTTCATAACTTATATAGCTTTTAACTTATTGCTTCCCTTCCTGTTTCTGCATAATCAATGCTATATATTATACTATCTGGAGAGACAGCACATGTTCCAGCCAACCCACCCAGCTGGCTGACTTCTTGGGGTAATGCCCCCTTCTCCCTGCAAAGGGATGAAATAAAGTGCTGAGATTGTTCATGGATAGAGCTGTGTGTCTGTCTGCTTTTATATCCCCTCTCAGGATTGGTCAGTCATTGGTCAAACAGGTTAACCATAGGACTTTGGAAATCCTCCAGCTACGGGAAAGTGAGTCCAAGGACTTAGTTATACCTTCAGACCAGTGCAACTTGGCCATGGAAAATTTCTCCTGCCCTGCCATCCTACAAGGAGGCTATACCAGTGTTGACCTATGTTCCAGTACCTCCCAGTATGCCCAGGAACCATGTGACCACCTCAGCAAGCACAGACATGGGGCATTCCCCATGTGGTGGCGGATTCCCTCTGAAGCCCTTCTGCCCAATTGTGCGGGTTGGCACAGCCCAGAATATATTCTGATAGGTACAGGCCTAATCCTGCAAAATCAAATTCTAGATCAGCAACAAGGATTGAGGGCCTTCTCCAAGCCCAGCCCTGCAGTAAAACACCTACGAGTGCTCCCCACCCTTCCACCTGGAGAAACTCACTATCAGGTCGAGAGGCGCTCTCTGCTCAAGGTAGCAGTCTAGACTTTCTCTCCAAGCGCAGAAGGCAGAGAGGAGAGGGGCTTGCTCAGGGAACTCAGGAATCAAAACAGGAAGAAGAGGTGTCTCAAGGACAGGAATTGTGGGGGTGAAGTAGGGCCTTTGAAGCATTTGTGTCCTGGCTCACCCACTCACTGGAATGAGATAAGTGGAACCTCAGTTTTCCCATCTGTAAAATAGAACACACAGCTTCCCTATTTACCTAAAAGGATGTATGGGGATCTGACAAGGTACCTGGGCTCATTCCTACCAGGAGTAGCACATCTTGCTACAGGACTCTGAACTGTAACAGCTCAACAAGAATAAAGGATTATTAGTGATGTCGTTATTGTTATTACAGCAGATATTATGGACTAAAGACAACAGACTAGTTGGGAAACTAAAATTAGGCCTGGAGCTGGCTCTTTCAGGGCACAGCATAACCATGCCCCAGGGCTGATAGACTAGACACTTCCACTCAGGGTTTATCCATTCTCCTGGTCTCTGCTCTCAAAACTCGGAAGAAATGATGAACAAACCCCATTTCTATGCAGGAAAGTCCTGGAACTGGGCCCAGCTCTCTACTTAGATTATCTTTGTTTTCTATTCTATTAACTCCTGAATTGTGAATTTCTGAACACTAATTTGAGTTTCTGACACTGAGTTCATAATAAATATTACATTTTAAAAACCTATTTGTTATTTATTTTCCTTTGCTTTCTTTGAATTTATCAGCTTTCAACTTCTTGAGTTGAATGTTTTAACTTTCCATCTTTCTTTTTTTTCAGTATAAGATTCTCTAAAGACCATAAATTTCCTTTTATGTACTATTTTGACTGCTTCATATGCAGCATATTTTATTAGGCTTTAGTTAAAAAAATTTTATTCTTTGACTCATAAGCTGTTAAGAAAGCTCTGCACATAAGGGCCACTCATCTCACAAACATTTATGAATACATACTTAAATCCAGCAGAATTCATCTCTGGATCCTAGCCTCCTTAATCCTCTACTTTAGCAGTGCTTCCTTGCCTCTTTTTGTGCCCTTTATCCTCTAAACTCCTTGCGGGCAGGGACTGTATCCCATTACCTCCCCAGGGCCTTGCACAGTGCCCAGCCCAGAGCACATTTTCAGTCAAAGTAAAATTAAAGAAAGAATAAATGAATGGTGTACCTCCCAACTTAGGTCTCCTAGTCTAAAAGTCCCATGAAGGGGAGGGTGTGTCTCCTCGGACTCTGTGTCCCAGGTGTCAATGCAAGGCCTGGCCTGTTGGAGCACTGTGACTACGTGGAGAGAGAGGGGAAGGAGAAAGAGAAAGAAAGAGGAAGAGAAGGGAGGGAGAGAAACTATGACCTCCCTATCCAAGAAGCTCTCTTGCCCCTTTCCTGCTGGCAGATCCTGACTAGTTGTCAGAAAGTCTGGAGCCCGATTCCCCTTCCTCGTGAGCGCTCCCTCCTCCTCCTTCCCACTCCTGGCCTCTGGAGTGAATCAGTGAACACCTGACCAAGGGCACCACCCCTGTTCTGAGTACAACGACAAAAATAAGCCCCTCCGTGGGCTTGGCTCTTTCTTCTTGATCTCTAGTCCTCCCAAACACTGGTGAGAGGAGCAGGATGGGTATAATTAGCAGAAGCCCAGAGAGGCCAAGCACTGTCAGTCTGGTCACCCAGCAGGTAAAAGAAAGCACGCTGGTTCACTGGAACCATTGTTCACGTCTAGGCTGCCCGCCACACAGACGCAAAGCAGCCAAGGCCGGGACTTGGTGAAGTGGATACTGAGGGCCCCCACCTTCAAACTCAAAGGGTGCTGGGGCTGAGTGGGCACCCAACAGCTGGAGCCCAGGCTGAGTCCCCAGGCTCAGCATGAAAGATTAGGGCTCAGGGGTCTCAGGCCAGGACTGACAAGTGAGTGCCCTGCTGATTCCAGAGAAATCTTCCTCTAAGAGGCTCTGGGGTCCAGAGACCAAGGCAGGCTCTGTGTGCTGAAAGTTGGCAGCATGACCTCCTCTCCTGCCTCTTCTGTTCTATTAAGACCTGAGGAAAAATGGCTGGAAGGGAGGTAGTCCCTGTGTTTGGGGAACTCCAGAGCCTGATGGTGGAGAGGAGGCAGGAAGTGCCTCACACAGAAACAGAGACAGATAGAACCAAAGATACCTGGGCAGAGCTCAAGACCTCAGCACTGGGGTCTGTCGAGCAGCTGGGGGGCCTTAGTCAAAGAGGGCTTCCTGGAGGAGGGAGTGTCTGGGCTGGCAAAGAAGAAGGAAGTGGAAATGGCTGGGGTAAGGAATGGAGCAGATTGCTCAGCCTCTGGCCAGAGCAGAGAGCAGACTGTAAGTGCCAGGCTGAGCAGAGGAATGAGCAAAACTACGGGTGCACAAGTCATAATGGGGGGGCGGGTAACCCCTGTAACCAGGAGATAAGCTAACAGGTGCCGGCACTGTGTTTTATTCAATTGTGCATCCCAGCATCTAGCAGGGTGACGAGCACTCCGTCAGCACTTACTAAATGCTGAGTAAATGAATGAAGTCATGAATGGCAGATGACTACAGCTACTGAGGGATGCAAGACTGACTCATTGTGGAGGACTTTATGAGCATCTGCTATGTGCTACCCCTGTACTGGGGACAGCAGGGAAGAGAGGGGTATAGAGGGGTCCTTGCCCTCCAGG